GGGCCCCTGGGTTTGGCTTGTCATTGCATTGTGCAGACGGGGTGAAGGGGATGGGACTGCGGCTTTAACCCTTCTCTGCTCTGTCCAGTTCTATGAGCTCTCCTATACAAATTGCAACAAAATCTTTAGCCAATCAGAGACCAGCATGAGATCACATGTGGCCCTATGAGCTCTATGCCCTCATGCACCAAGTGTAACACAATCCTCAGCCAATCAGAGGCAAGCTGCGATCACATGTGGATCTATGAGCTCCATGCACTGCTGCAGAAAGTGCATCAAAATCCTCAGCCAATCAGAGGCCAGCATTAGAGCACATGTGGCCCTTGCAGAGCTTAAAACTGTGCATTCAGAGTGCAGCTGACCCTGTCCCATCATGCACTGCTTTCTTCCACCTCCAGGGGCCACACAGGGCTTCCTGCTCACCTGGAAGGGCCCCAGATCCTCCCAGGGCCCGCATACCGGCACCTGGATGGCCTCCAGCCCGGCACACACGTCCCCGGGCTCCATGAGTTCCGATTCGGTCCGCGCACTCCGCGACTGCTCCTTCCTGCGGGCTGAAGGACTCTGGCGCCACCTGCTGGGGGAAAGCGATCATGACAACCGGCGGCCGAACTGGCCTTCAAGGGAACCTTTCATAGAAAACATGGAGGCTGCCATGAGTCTCCTCTCCTTCTGAAAATGCTTGGCTGCTTAAGCAGAGGTCTACTCTGTACAATGCGTGGGGTGCAATTCCCATTGAACGGCACTGCAACACACCACACAGGTGCGTCGACATGCATTGTGAGAACACATGTATGTGAATGAACTCGCAGCTGCCCTTTCCAGAATTCTAGGTGCAGACCCTGTTGTGGGATCTTTGGCTTATCGATTATCTTCTGATCTTCTTCCTTTACAGTGCAATCATGTGTGCCCCTGACACCCCAGCGACCCCTGTGCACCCCTGTGTCTCCAGTGCAATCCTATGTACCCCTGAGACCCCTGTGTCTCCAGTGCAATCCTATGTACCCCTGAGACCCCTGTGCACCCCTGTGTCTCCAGTGCAATCCTATGTACCCCTGTGCACCCCTGTGTCTCCAGTGCAATCCTATGTACCCCTGTGCACCCCTGTGTCTCCAGTGCAATCCTATGTACCCCTGAGACCCATGTGCACATCTGTGGCTTCAGTGCAATCCTATGTACCCCTGAGACCCCAGTGACCCCTGTGCACCCCTGTGTCTCCAGTGCAATCCTATGTACCCCTGAGACCCATGTGCACATCTGTGGCTTCAGTGCAATCCTATGTACCCCTGAGACCCCTGTGCACCCCTGTGTCTCCAGTGCAATCCTATGTACCCCTGAGACCCCTGTGCATCTCTGTGTCTCCAGTGCAATCCTGTGTGCCCCTGAGACCCCAGTGACCCCTGTGCACCCCTGTGTCTCCAGTGCAATCCTATGTACCCCTGAGACCCCTGTGTCTCCAGTGCAATCCTATGTACCCCTGAGACCCCTGTGCACCCCTGTGTCTCCAGTGCAATCCTATGTACCCCTGAGACCCCTGTGCACATCTGTGGCTTCAGTGCAATCCTATGTACCCCTGAGACCCCAGTGACCCCTGTGCATCTCTGTGTCTCCAGTGCAATCCTATGTACCCCTGAGACCCCAGTGATCCCTGTGCACCCCTGTGTCTCCAGTGCAATCCTATGTACCCCTGAGACCCCTGTGCACCCTGTGTCTCCAGTGCAATCCTATGTACCCCTGAGATCCCTGTGTCTCCAGTGCAATCCTATGTTCCCCTGAGACACCAGTGACCCCTGTGCACCAGGGCAAACCTAAGTACCCCTGAGCCCCCTGTGCCCCCTGTGTCTCCAGTGCAATCCTATGTACCCCTGAGATCCCTGTGTCTCCAGTGCAATCCTATGTTCCCCTGAGACACCAGTGACCCCTGTGCACATCTGTGGCTTCAGTGCAATCCTATGTACCCCTGAGACCCCTGTGTCTCCAGTGCAATCCTATGTACCCCTGAGACCCCAGTGACCCCTGTGCACATCTGTGGCTTCAGTGCAATCTTGTGCCTCTCTGGGACCCCAGTGACCCCTGTGCACCCCTGTGTCTTCAGTGCAATCTTGTGCCTCTCTGGGACCCCAGTGATCTTTGTACACCTGTGTGTCTCCAGTACAATCCTGTGCACCCCTGTGTCCCCATGCAGCCACCAGTAACCCCCCCCCCCCCCCCCCCCCCCCCCCCTCTCCCCGCCGCTGCCCCCGCCTGCATCCACGCTCCACCCG